TTTTCATCCTTGCCGTTTAAATCACTCAAAGACTGGTTTGAGAGAATATTTATGAACTTCTTTTTTGCTTTATAAATACCTCAATATTTATTACAACAAAACACATCGCCAGAACAACACACTGTATGCTATATACTGTATGCTGGATAGGTGCTGTACTAGTATAGTCAATGAAATACATTTTCTTATCCTTTTTTTCTTGTCATGCTATCCGGATATTTCTGTTGTATATGTTCTTATGACTGAATCACATTTCTTTTTTTTACTGCGTTTATCATTTTTTTCTGAGTTTGCAACTGTTTTCAAGGCCGTGTTTGTATTGTGTTTCAGAGGTAGGCTATCTGCATAACCAGTCGACAAAGAAAGCGTTTCAAGTCCCAGCTCAAAGTACCCAAGTACCCTAGCTGGTCTGGCACTTTTGGTACTGGTATACCGGTACTGGTATACCGGTACTGGTATACTGGTATACTCGTGGTGGATAAGTGCCATTTTTTCACTGGAATTATGATTAGTTTCCATCTTGGTTTTTCCCTTGTCTCCTGCTCCACAATTTTATTTCTGACTTCAGAGCCTCAACATCGCTATGCCACGTGCTCCCACACCTCAGGAGCCACTATATGGATAGAAGTATTGGGACACCTGATCATTACGCCTACAGGAACTTTTAAATCCATTCTAAATCCATAGGCATCGATGTGGAGCTGATCCCCCCTTTGCAGCTGTAACAGCTGCCACTCTTCTGGGACGGCTTTCCATAAGATTTTGAAGTGTGTGGCCTGGCTCACAATCTACATTCTAGTTCATCCCACAGGCGTTAGAAGGGGTTGAAGTCAGGGCTGTGTGTGGGCCTGTCAAATGCTTCCACACCAAACTCACCCAACCATGTCTTTATGGACTTTGGTTTGTGGACTGGGGCACAGTCATGCTGGTTTAGAGAAGGACTCATAGAACTCTGCAGTTAGTGAGTCAAACAGGGCTTTGGTGACTTTTACACACTACACGTCTCAGAACCTGGCAACCTCGTTCTGTTACTTCAGAACCTGGCAACCTCGTTCTGTTACTTCACATGGTCTGCCACTTTGTGGCTGACTTTCTGTTGTTCCTAAATGCTTCTACGTTGCAATAACACCACTTACAGTTCACTGTGGAATAACTAGCAGGGAAGAAATGTCAGAAAGTGGCTTATTGCAAAAGTAATGTCCTATAACAGAACTACGATAAAATTCACCGCACTCTTCAGAACGACCCTTTCTTTCACAACTGACTGCATGGCTAGTTGCTTGATTTTATACACCTGTGGCAATGCCTCATGCCTCAGGACAGCGGCACCTCAAATAGAGAGTCAGAGTTTTTTCAGTCCCGGAGTGAAAAGTAGCTAAAACATTTGTTGAAAGTCATACTGACATCATATGAAAAATGCCAGAGAAGAAGCAAGAAAATCACACCACCAGCCAAGGGCCTAAACAATCAGACAACTGACATTTTTCATAAAAAATTGGGATTTTTATTCAGCATGAAATATACAAAAATGAAATGCAGTGAGTCAAAAGCATGAAAGAGCAGAAACATACCAGTGCAATGGACATACATTATTACTTTGAAACAAATTGTTATGTGCCCTCAAAGGCTCAATGAGTAATCGAGAGGGAAAGGGGGGCAGACATACAAAGAGAAAAGTGGAACCTAAACATCTTGTCCAGGAAAAACACCAATACGAAGTCAGGTAGTAATTAATTGGGGCAATTTTACTGGGAGAAAACAGAAAGGAAAGTAGACCTCAGCATCAACAAAGGAAAGAATCTGCCTAAAAGAAAAACTTACGAACCTCACAACCAGAACAAAAAAAATATATATATATGGCCAAACCAAATAAAAGTCTTCCACACCTACACTGTAACTAGCTACTCTGATCGAAATCAGGAAAGAAAACAAAGAGTAGGTCTATATCTCCTCTGTCAAACATGTAAATACTGGGGCCTCGATCCAACAAGGCAATTTATTTGTAAACTGAGCACAAAAATAAACCAGAAACCAAAAGAGACCATGAGGGGTCACACAAAGGCAGGTCGATAACTAAGGTAAGGAACACACTGAGGGATCACACATAGCATATACATCACTATCAGAAAAATAAGTACCTTTGGGGGTACAGTTACTTGTCACTGGGGGTGTACTCTCAAGGGTCTGCCAGTTGTAGCCTATGTTAGCTGGAGGTCCTTTGTAAGGTACAGAAATGGATTCAGAGGAATTTTTGTACCATTGGGGATACATTCATGTTGTTTGTACCATGGGGAGCAAGACTGTACCAGGGTTGTACCCTTTTTTCTGATAGTGAGGAAACAAATGCACAGCAAACACACAATAGCCGACAAAGGAACAGGGCAAGAATAGGCACATAAATATACTGTACAAGTAACAAGGCTAGATGAGGGAGAGGTGTGAGCTGATTACACATAGGTGTAGGTAGTTACAATCAAACACTAAGGACTAGGGCTACACTGGAAATACCGAAAACAAAGGTAAAACATGACACAATTACAATACAAAACAAGAATCCATACAGTGATGCAGTGACACAAGAAAACATAATAACAAGAGTATACTAATCAGAACCTAGGAGCAGAAACCACAGGATGCCTGAAGAGTTGAGGCCTCTGGCCAACCTCAAGCTCATGACTGAGGAGATGCTCAGTTTGCAGGCCACCCGCTTCACCCATTCAGCCATGCATAGGGTCCATGAAGCAGGCAAACACACTAGGAAGAGAACAGTGGCAAACCTAGGGAGACATTGGTAAAACAGGATGACCAGCGACACCTGCTGGGTAAATGGGAAAATGACAAACTAAACGAAGCAAGACAGCGAACAATCCTGACATTGGGAAACAATCGGAGTATTAAATATTATGTATAATAAATAGAAGACAATTCTAAGACAAATCATTTTGCCAATACCTACTTTTATTGTAGATTCATTGTATTTCTACTTGCACATTACCCCCTCAGACACAAGACCATGTCAATATCTCATATAGTGGCATTCCTACACCATAATAGTTTTGATAATCTGGGACGGAAAAATCATTGTTTGTTGGAAGTTAAGACATGCTGTTCTGTGTACGTCCTATTCAGGTTCACTACAAATGAAGTTGTTTTAAACTACTTAATCATTGCCGTAATAGTGGAGGTGTCTTCAGGCATTACACAGCTTTCAAAACCATTGCTTAATATTTACTGAATATTTACACCAGGTCCGGCCCTGGGTGTTTTGGTGCTCTAGGTGAGATTATAGATCGAAGAACAGTCATGGACTACAAAGCCCCTCTGTCACTCTGGAAAAGAGTGTCTGCTAAATGCTGTAAATGTAAATTCTTTTGAGTGATTCGTTTATACTAAAAATATTTCTGACTGTTCGCATGCTCTCCTCATGTTCACGTGGGTTTCTGCTGGGGGCTCCCGTTTCCTCCCACAGTCCAAAAGTGTGGGGGTAGGTTGATTGGCGAATCTAAGTTGGCCCCGTAATTGTGTGAGTGTGTGTGTGACTGTGTGCGCCCTGCCCAGGGTTGGTTCCTGCCTGTGCCCATTGTTCCCAGGATAGGCTCCAGTCCCCCCAGTGACCCTGGTTGGGATTAAGCGGATACGGTGATGGTGCGATGGATATTTCTGACTGATAACTAGCTAGCTTGCACCTGTTTTACAAGAAAAGTACTAAACTATTAAAAATACTGTTTGTCTGTTTCCCTGCTCCTGTTTGATTGTGATTTAATAAGCCCCTCTCAGTTCTCATTACACCCGCCTTGTTAGCGTGTCGTGACAGAATGACCAGACTCTTCCAGAACTCCAGCGGAATACCTCTCTGCCGCAGATATGAAGCGGCTCTGCATCCTGCGGACTGCATACCCCAGGTCCCTAGTGTCACAAGGATGTGAATGACCGTCGCTTCACCAACAACCATCACAGACACCGAAGCACATTTAGACTGGGGGAGCAACCCCATTATGTGTAGGATCCCATGGTGAGAGGGCTCCTCTGCAAGTCTGACAGGGTGCTGGTGGGACTTGCCCCAGACGCAGATCTATTGGAAGCGGAGAGAGCCCAGCACCTTCTGAGAGAGGTTCGGTTGCTCGTGCTGAACTCTCTTGCAGGAACCCGCATCTTCAGCGTCTGAAGCAGGAGATATAGTGTCTGCTTCGCTGCTACAGGAAGCTGTTCTGCTCGCCGCCTCTTCGCAGCGTGAAGCCGCTATTCTTGCCAGCTTTCCGCAGCTCCCAGCTCTGGTCATAGGAGGAAAAAGCAGAAGAAGCTGACTGTACCTGTACAGTAACTGCTGTCTCGCCAGATCCTGTGCCTCCAGAGACCTGCCCTGAAGGGACCTCTGCGCCACACCAGTCTCCTGAACCCTGCCTAGGGGAGGCCACCACCGCACCTCCAGAGCCCATCCTCACCTCTGCTGTGCCCCCAGAGGCCACTCTCCAGGCTTCCGACCTAGATAGGGCCGTTCCACCCAAGTCCCAGGCCCCGGAAAGGCCACATTGCCCACACTCGGTCTCGCAGCAGCTGTGTCGCCTCATCACCTGCTGTCCCTTTGGCTCCCGACTCGTCTCCTGCTGTCTCGTCGGCTCCCTCTGCGCCTATTGGTGCCTCGATGGCGCCCTCATCAGCACCCTCCACTCTGAACCAGGACCGAAAAACAACGTAATAATTTTAAAATCTCATTATAGGAACCCCCAACCCCACTTGGCAAATATTTTCATTGCCCCCTTGGATGACATCTGTCTGGTTATTGATCAATCTCCCACTCACCCAGAAAGAGCTGCTTCAACTCACAGTTCTGGGTTTACAAGAATGAACTGCTCATTTCAGGTCCTGCCACAGAATGTCAATGAGGTTCAGGTCTGACTGTTCTGACATCTAACTGCATGACCAACCTCAGCTTCAACTCTAGAATCGATGGCCCCATGTTCCCCTGTAGAATTTTCTAGGACTGAGCAGAAGTCGTGGTCAGTACATTTAGCAGATATAACAGTCCCCACGACGGCTTTCAGGTGTCTCTCCCTTCAGCAGTATCGTTTCACAGCTCATGCATATCATAAAGTTTGTTCGTTTAGAGGACAGCGGATTCCACCTTCCAGATTTGCCACGCATGTCATTTCAGGATAGGATTAAGAAGCCAAATCTAACATTTAACATCAAAATTATATGTTTAAAGACTAATAAAAAGCCTGCAAATAGCAGGAGCAAGGGGGCTAAGTGGGAAGTGGAATGGCCTCAAACCTCCTTAAACATAGTTTCCAGTTTCAGTTAATGTTTTAAAAAGGGCAATTGACAAGTCAGCACTAATACCAAATAGCATAAAGATACATGTCACATGCGTCCTGGCCAATCAAATAGCATAAAAATCGATATACGGATTTTATAGCTATGTCCACAAGATGGCGCTACAACATCTTTCTTACTTGCAGGGGGGGTTTACGTTCACGACCCCTACTTAAAGAGAGGCACAACTTTTCGATTTGGCATAAAGCTCACTGAAGCGCCTTAGGCGACGGTGGTACCACACTCAATACCTCATGGGAGATATTAGAACGCTGTAACTGAACTTATCCGTCTCAGGAAGTATTAAGGCAGAGTAAAGACAGGGTCCGTCCAAGAACCGGCGAAATCGGGACCTCCTGTTTCTGGAAGGCAGTAGGCTATTTTAAATAATCAAGCGATGCTGTAAAAAGTGGTGAACTGGAAAGACGCAAAGTGACAACAGTTATTTTTAACCGTAAAAAACTGCGCCGAAAACATTTAAGAGATAACAGGTGAGGAATTTCTCCACATCCAAATCGTTTATTTGTAGTATTCATATTTATGTAAGAATTTATATAGATTAGTAAATGTTAATGCGTTGTTAATATTTTCTCAGTCCACCTAATGGATTTAAGAAAAATAAGTGCAAACCAGTCATCAGCATTTTTGGAGTGCCTAACTGCGCAGACGAACTTGTCCCTGAGCATCACGGCCAATGTGACGGAGGAGGTAAACGGCACCGCCTGCGCAAACGCGTCCGCCGCCCCGAAGACGCCGCTCCCCCGGAATAAAGGTAAGACAAGGATGTCTGCGGCGCGGTAAATGCGCACTCAGCGCTGTAATAGCGTCACTTTACAATGTGAACAATGTTTCGTAGTTTACCAGTAAGCGTATTCTGCTTTATGGTTTTACCAGGACGATAATTCTGATTGACTAATTGCCGTGGTATTCTTTTTACGTGACAAATCAAACTTTATTGTCATTTCGCAAAATATGCAGGCATACAATGAATCGAAATAAATCCTTAAAAAGTATTTACAGATAAGACAACATAAAACATATGACAATAATGAATAAAAACACGAATATGATGTACTTCATGTACTAAATTGGAACAGGAATGCAATATTAACATTTGAGATGATGATGGTTTGACCAAGTTCAATTAAAAAATGCATAAAGAACTAATTTTTCAGTTAAGCAAAGAAATATGCAAATTGATATTGTCCTACAGTTTTCTGAACTACCCCATACAATAATGATTAAATTCAAAATTTCCAAGGAGTTTTAAATCAAAGTGTGTACCTCATATGCCGCAATATGTCTAACGTGAGTTTCTGTAATTGTTGAAAATTTATTGTATTAGTCACACAAATGGACACATAGACACCCAGTACTGTCTGCACATTGACTGGTTTATATACGCAGACATGTTTTTTGTTTATTTACTTATTTATTTATTTTTACTTTGACCCATTTATGCTGCACTTTTAGAACAGGCAGTAGCTCCGTTTTAATTTTAGTATGTGCACCTATATTCTTTTCTGCGTGTTTTTGTGTACCGTATATGTTTATACCACTGTGGTATGGAGCTACTAGAAATTAGAATGTCCCTCTGGGATTATTAAATTCTTTCTATCTATCTATCTATCTATCTATCTATCTATCTATCTATCTATCTATCTATCTATCTATCTATCTGTCTAGCAGTAGAAGTGTTAATCAAGTCTCCCTGGCTGGAAGTACTCATGTGAAATAAACCGTGATTCATGAGGATTTCATTCCTGTCTATTTTCCGTTTCCCATTCACCCATTGTTAATAACAGCTTATTCTAATAGATTTTGAACTGGAACTTTCCAGTTGCAAGCTCTCTGCACACATCGTAAGTCAGTCACACAATGAAAGTTCTTCATATATGAAATTTGGATCCACCTGCAGCGACACTCTGGGCTAAGGGAGGAGTGTCACTGTGTCATTAGTGGATTTGCTGCTGGAAATACTAATACACTTATTAGCTGGATTGTTACCAATGCCAAGGCCCAGAAAGTACAAATCCAAACCAAGTTTTTGTTTCAACCAACCAAATGAGTACTCTGAGAATGTGACTCTTTATACTCAACTGGTTGGTTGAAACAAAAACCTGGTTTGGATTTGTACTTTCTGAACCTGAACTTTCCACCTCTAGTATTCAATTCTTTTCTATTTCAAATGATAAAAATGGAAGTTATGTGCACAGTGACCTTGATTTGGTTCATGCTGCTGTTTACTGCCATTTTGGAAATAATGTATCATAATTAAAGTCAACATATCTTAATTATACCTATTCAGATGTTCCACCACATTAAATTCTGTGATGCGACACATGATCACAGATCATAACTGGATACTACAACAGAAATTGCAGAAACAGAAATTGATCTGGTTTCCCTAAACATAAAGAATGATAATGGACAGAAGTATGAAGTTTTATTCAAAGTAGTATATCAGAAAACAGAGCAGAGTTAGGAAAATCAAATCAAACAAATTCAAACTGATCAAATGGCACACCCCAAACTGATCAAATGGCACACCCCAAACTGATCAAATGGCACACCCCAAACTGCACACACTCACAATTGCCGCATATTCTTCCTGTCAAACGTTTCCTCTTCAGTAAGCATGTCTCAGAGAACTCAGTGTGTAGTGAGCTGAGTGGGACTCAACTTCCACAAAGGATGGTGTTGAAGGACTAAATGAGCTCAGGTGATAGCCAAACAGAATCCGAGAAGCAGAGTTAAACCAGACACCAGGCCCAAAGCACAGAACCAAACCCAGCAACCAAGAAATCCAACATAGAATCAGAAAACCATACCACTTAGTAGATAAAAGTCGAACACAAGAATGAGTAGTGATGCTTTAATCAGAAGAAGTTTACAGGCATTGAGTGCAGGCATAATTGATTTCCTATGAACCCATCTGGAGGTGGGCGTGGCCACAAAGACCAGTGACACCAATTGCAAGTGAATAGCAGACTGGGGGCCGGCCCACATGTGAAATGATGCTGGAGATTAATATAAAAGAGATAAGGCAGTCACATCTGATCAAGCCAATATGATGCAGTTTTGCCCAGTCTGTTGTTTCAGTTTGCAGCATCTACTGTAAGTGCGTATTTTAACAGAACAGGAGGTGGGTCTGGTCACAAGGATCAAGTGAAGGAACAATGACAAGTGAATAGCAGACTGGGGGCCGGCACACATGTGACATAATGTGTTTTTATACAGCATAAAGGGACTCATCATAGAACTGTATGCTGTGGTCTTGATGACTCAACCAGCTTTCAGTTAGTCAGCTGTTAATCTTACATGCATGTATGATATATATCAATTACCTTCCCATCTTTTATGTATATAATTTTTATTTAACATTTAAAAAATTCTTTTTACAGAAGATTGAAACACTAGCAGCAAAAATATATCAACAGTCTGTTCAGTATTACATTCTCTCACTTCACAAAGTAAATGAAGATGTCACCGTAAATGATGAAAAGTTATATCCCTGATTTAATGTTTTTGCTTTTTCTTAAGCATAATAGTGAAAGGTTGTAAAACGCCAGATTTTGTCTAAGCAAAGTCCACAGGTTTCACAATATATAATAATATTCTTATACAATATGCCTCAATAAAATAAATATCGGTATCCTGCCATAACTTTCTATCACAGGCCTCCTTTTCTTTGTACTTGCAACGATGACGACTGGCAGACTCTCCGCATGTTTTCTGTTTCTGGTCAAGGTTGTTATAGGGCCGTGTAGACTTGATACACATGTGTTGCTGATAAGACCCGTCTGTTTGCCTTTCAGGTTTTCACCATCACAATCAAATATTTTACATTTCTCACTGGTATTACAGATTCGCGTCATTTCTGAGATTAGTGGCAGAGAGTTTTTAACAGAACCATATCAGGTCAAGTGTTTACTAAAGCATACATATTTTACATATTGAGCATACAGTACATATTTTACACGACACTTATGCTGTATAAACATACTGCATTTTAAGTTAACATTACTTGCAATATTTCTAAGATAAATTAGTGAAGTTTTATAGAACACAAATCATACAAGATGATGAGAAAAGGATATTCATTACAGGTATGTTGAACATACACAGCAACATTTTTTTTTTATTAAGAATTTTTATATACCAGACAATTAGACTGCCACAACTGGTTTCCTCATGAGCATTAATTTGCATCCAATATCACGTTGATTTCATGCCCTGACAGGTAATTTGTGATGGTAACAATGATTTATGTGCTTTTTTACCACTTTTGGAAAGAATTGCATTGTTTTCACAGATATTCTTTACCTGCATATATTAACAATACCGAAGTTATTTTTACATTCACTTAAGACACTGAAAGATCTTACTCATCAAAGGGTTTGTTGATTTTTTTAATACCACTGCCTGTGTAATATGTAATTGGTACATCTTTCAGTCTCGTATTTATTTATTCATTTGTTAATTTGTTTGATGCAGAGAGACCATCATAAATTTAGCTTAATTGCATTTTATGCTTTCATTTTAGCTTGTTGCATGATGCAGGTGATTCAGCAAGGAACAGGAAATGGAAAAGTCACCAGCATGGCATTACTGAAGTCGTGACTGAATGTCTTAGTGTGTCTGTGACATTAAATGGGAAAGTTAGACACACTGTAAAAATCCAAAATGCATGTTTTAAGCAAAAAAATCACCACGTGTTAAAGAGGCATAATGCCTCTTGAGTGGGTTAACTAAATCGTTTTGACTGTGAATTCTGATATGGTGAAAGTGACACTTTGATGTAATTAAATACTTTGTTACATTTTGGTCCGACAGAACAGAAAATGGTTGTCATGACAGTTCATAGACTGATCATGGTGCTATTTTCTCTCATCATAATAGCATTCCAGAAAAATATGTGCTTGATTTAGGCTACTGTTGCTGCAAAAACGAATTAACCTATGCATGTGCATGCAAGAGAGAGATTTGGTGAGTTTTGGTAGTAACAATTCTTAAAAGCAGTCTAGTACAAAAAGAAAACCACATTATGAATAAAATTGTTCTTTCGTTTTGTTGTGATTTTGCCCTGTGGCTCAATGGGTAACACTATTGCCTTGCACTTCCAGCGTCGAATTTCAATCCTGTCTCTACTCCGTGTATGAATTTTGCTTGTTTGCTAGGTCCTCGCGTTTACTCCTGCAGTCCAGAGACATCTAGTTAAACTTAGTGGTTGCCCTAAATGATCTGCCGTATATGAGCATGGGTTAAATGATGTATTTATTTATGTGACATGTGTGTGTTTATGTAAAACACTGAAACTGAACACCTTTGTAGTTTATGAGTTTACCGTGAAATATGCTATCGATATAATGGAGAGTTGGCTAGTCACCAGCCTATAATCCAATACACAGAGTTCCATTTTGGCTGATGCTGTCGCTATAAATGCTGCTGGTATTACTTATACTATCCCATGAGCGCTGACCCGGCTGCAGTGTGGATCCATTAGACCAAATGCAGGAAATCATTACTGCTTTCTGGGATGCTGCTGTGAAGGGGGGCTGCAGTGTCTATAGTGTGTTAATAGTAATTGAATGTATTTACACTCAGCCGGAATATCACCTCCATCCCAGCATATGACAGACTCTGCATTTCCCCAAAAAGTTAAGAAAAAAAAAACATTTCACCAGCTTTAATTGTTCAACAGGTAAAAACTAAAATAATTCAATTGTAGTCAACTGAAATAAAATTGTAGAATACATTCAAAGTGAAACTTTTCAATGAATACAAGTGTAAAAAAAAATAATCTTCCTCCAAGTACATGTTGCAACTATATTATTTGTATATATATATAAAACGAACTAAACAAACAGCATAGTGTTGTATATAGTTTTTTTTTTATAATATAATCAAGCCCTCAGTGATGTAATTTGTCAAATTCTGACCAGACACTGTGTAGAGAGACTTCAGAAATGTCTTGAATTTGCAAACTAACATTGCAGGCAGTGATTGTGCACCAACTATAATATCAACTTTGTAGAAGGTTCCAGGTGGAGAAGAAAAAAAGAACAGAAAAAAAACAAGTGCATTTTTTCAGGCAGAGATGAAGGTGAAGGGAAGCCGTAATCTTAACCATAAGCATCCAAGCAAAACACAAGACTTTTGGCATTTTTAGTTTTTTGATTGAGATTCCTCTAGGTCAATTCTGCATGTCCCAGCACTACTAGAGTAAGACCACTGGTCAGCATTTCATTCATGGCAGTACTCAGAGTGTGAGGGTTGGGAGGCTTCGGGATAGTGACCCTTTTTCTAAGTCTACTATCATTAAAACAACAGAAGAACAGACGTACTGTCAAGGGCATCTTGTCAGTTCTGCAATGGTTAAAATCAGACCCACATCTGTATCTCCATGGTGCATCTACTGACAATCAACCTCTTTTCCAGGCATGTTAAAACATAGGGTTCTGACAACAGCGCCAGCTTTCACTAAGTCATGCAAGAGTTAGTTCTCAACATATCAACTGATATGTCAGAGACGAATTCCTGCAGAGTGTACAGAAAGAAGCACCTACCTGAAGCCTTAGACATATACTAAGCCAAGGTTTCTTTGTGCCTTTGGTACAGCAGTGCTTACAGAGTCTGACCTGGCAGTTTGGCGGCGTTTCAAACTGAACAATATCACAGCTGAAACCCAGGGGAAAAAAGATGGCACACAGACATCCTTCTAAATCAGAAGCAGCATATTGACTAGCTCTGCTGTTTGGAGAGGATTACTGCACCACTGAGGGCAATCGGTACGCAGAAACAGAACATGTGTCTCCTCTGACAGCAGCCAGCCAATGGTGCAAAAAACACTCTTGCAGAAAGGCTTTTCCCGGATGGTGGTTTTCGTGGGGCTGTAGCGTTCATTATGCTATGAAACACCATTTAGTTTTAGATTTACTTAAGAAATTTGTTTGAGGATAGAAGGCATGCCACATGGTTGTCTTTACTGCACAGTCTATTGTGGATTTTGTCAGTAAGGGAGTTTGTGCACAATATACGTTTTCTTGTGTGTCTAGGATAATATGCAGGTTGCTAACCCACTGAGCTGCATACTACAGTTTATAGTGGAGTCTT